TACTCCTTTGCTCCCAGCCCCTCCACAACTGCTTGCATTTGCTGGAGACCAATAAGAACCGGAACTACATTTCCGTCATGCAGCTGGCCTCAGCCGATTTCCCCACCAAACATCCCTTGGTAGAGCTGTTCAAAGCAGCAGGACCAGTAGATGTTAAAATTAAGTTCTCTCCCTGCCACAAAATGCTGGCAATGAAGCAGCACTGCACGCAATGACAGCTGAGGCTAAGCCGGCCATAAAGCTGCGCCCAAAGAGCACGTGCCCGGCGGCGTCACATAGCCCCTGCCAGGACCCTGTCTTCCTCCCCAGGAACTCACCATTTGTGGGGCTGGCCCTACCAGAAGCCACAAGACCTGTGGCCATTCCTTAAGGCCAACTGTGGGGTGGTTTGGTTTTTCTAAGCAACCCCCTTTACAAAAAATAAACAAAAACACCAACCCCCCACTGTTCCACCTGACAAATGTAGAACTAGGGGATGTACTTCAAGAGAGAGGAAGAAAAAATTCTCAGCCCTATTTCTATCTTATTTATCCCTGACTGTTTAACATCTGTCCAAGGAAGCATATTTAGACAGAGTCTTCCCAAAAGCCATGCTTAGGCAGTGAAGGTTGACGAGACCCTAAACCCCTTTTGTCAACCTGACCCTTCAAAAACGGTGGCAATCCTGCCCCTTTGCTAACATGCAGAGGCAAGAAAGCCCATTCCCGAAACAAGCAGAGAACTGGAGTGTGAGAGACATGGGGAAAGCAAGCGACTCGTCAGAGCGCTTGGAAGGGACAAGCAGGAGAGTCCCCAGCCAGGAGCGGTGGCAAGGCTGGCAGCAGAGCCGTGGCAGAGCAAGACCTCCCAAAGCCACAGGACCAAGCCGGCTCACCACTTTATGGGAAGGAAAGGCAAGGCTCTGGTTGAAAAGCCATGGCACAAATAAAGCAGCAGATCCATTTTTACACCTGGCATGTGCTACATCTCACTTGTATGTCCCAGAAGGGACCTCTGGTCCTGGGACCAGAGGAGAGCTCATGTCCAAGCACGGTTTCTCCCTGCTTGCCTGCTCTGTCCAGTGCCCAGGAGGAGTCTGAGACACTTTTGGGTGGTAACAAACCTCAGGACATTCCTTATTGCAAACTAGTACATGGGAGAGTGTGCGTCCCAAATTGGCCCCTGCTGTGCAAAGCTACACCAGGGTTTGAGCCGTTACGTTTCCGCTGCCCCATGGTGGCTCTTGTGGACAAGCAGGACTTAGCGTGCGAATTGCTGCCCCAGAAGCAAGTGGCAACTCCAGGGACGGGGCCTTAAGCGAACTGTTTTATCTGCCAACCGCTGTTGAGGGTGCACCGAGACTCCCCAGCACCATCTGTATCGGGCAACTGAGCAAAGGGGTGTTCAAGTGCCTCCAGGAACGCCCCTGACAGCAGCAAGAGGCCAAGAAGAGCCTGACACCCTCTAGTCAGCGTGTTCTGATTTCTGATGAGGCTGCGGGGACCACAGGCATCTGAAACTAGGTGCCAGCAAGCGGAGACTACACGTAACTGCAAGGGTAACCGCTAAAATATCCCGGTACACGACACAAACCCAGGCCAGCTAGTCAGACAACAAAAACAATAATTGCGAGACAACAAAAATCATGCAAATGTCATGGCATGCAAGGTCAGTTACACTTGGTTATCTACACACACACACACACCTCCCCCTGCGCCACAGCGGGACTCGCTCTGCCCTAAGGCGGGAGCTACCGGAGGACACGCGCACTCAGTGTCGCAGCCCGGGATGCAGGAGCTCCCCAGTCAAATCCAGGGCCACAGCAATTAGTGCTGCTGGTTTTGATTGGAAAAAAATGCACCAGATCGTTACCTTCCCAGGCCCCCCCATCCCTGAATCCGCAGTTGCGCGCAGTCCTGTACCCAACCCTTCTTCCTTCTTCCCGCTATGGTATTAGATGATTTAATAGTTATTTGTGTTAAAAAATATGAAAAAAAGAAAAAAAAACACAGATGGCAGAGACACATTACTGCAAAAGCAGGTGAATGCAGGAACATCCTTGGCTGGACTGGCTTTATGTGAAGCTTGCGCTGCAAGTTAAAAAAAGAACAAAAACAAAAAAAGTTAGCAATAGTAGAACCCCAAATTAAAAAAAAATGAAATCAAGGAAAGCTGGGAGAGCCAACACCAGCAACCCGCTCTGGTGGGTGGGCATGCAGATGGATGATGGAGTTAAAAAGAAATTAAACCTCGAGACCCTGCATCAAGTGTAGCCTACATGACAAGCAAAAGCAAGAAGCCAAACGGAGTGGGAAGCACTGACCCACCGACAACTTCAGTCAGCCCGAGGTGACGGGCTGTACTTGGTGTTGTACTTGGTGCTGTCTCTCCAAGGAGCATTCGTGGAATGCTGAGCTGCCCGGCATGGGCACTGCTGGGAGCTCTGAGCTGGCATGTGGCATCTCTCCACACCTCAGATCCTTCAGGCATCAACAAAACCCTCTTTTAATGGGGTGCCGGGCTGAGCCCTGAAACACTTTTGTTACATCCTCTAGCTCAGGGATTTGTTTTGGGATTTAACACGGCCCAAGACGGCCAGACATCAGATGGAAAGTTACTTGTACTGGAAGGGAAGTGGAAGCAAGATTTACATCTCGTTTTCAGAAGTAGCTTGAAAAGAACAGAAGCGGAGGCCAAACGGATGGTCCTGGCTCCTAGCTGGGTTGAGGAGCAGCAAGGAGCACATGTTGAGGTGTGCACATGGTCATCTACCAAACAGTGGGCAAGCACCAAAATGATGTTTGCTGCTCCTCTCAAAACAGCTGGTGGAAGCCTGAAGCACAGTCCCATCCCAAAATGACAGCAGGGGCTGGATAACTGCATCCATCTGAGATTCAGCTTCAAGGACCATGTTACATATACTCAAGTGTATACAAATACCTGCTGTACCCAAACCAGCAAGCATCCCTGGCGTCAGGCCAGAGCTTCATCATTTTAAACGAAGAAAGCACAAACAACAGGGAATCTATCTGACAAATGCAGAAAACAAAAAAGAAAAGTAGCAAAAGAAAACTCCTTGTTTCTGCAGGGATAGTCTGGAAGTCATGAGGCCAAGTTCTCCCCCCTGGAGTCAAGCCAGCAGCAAATTGGCCCCAGGCCTTCCCTCCAGCTAGCAGAAGACCGAGCTGAGTCTCCATTGTCCAAGTTCAAGAAATCCGAGCCCATGTTGGGAAAGGAGCATTCCCGTGAGTTAAGTTCTGGGGAGGCTGCGAGGATCATGCTCAGAGCACGGCAGGGGTTTCCTCTGGCAGCTGCACGAGCACCGCCACAGTCCAGGGCACCACAGAGAGCTCCCAAGCCTTACCTAGAGCCGCAGCTTTTTGTTAGAGCACAGGCAGAAACGCAAAGCCTTCCGAGCAGCCAAGGCGCGCTGCAGCGCGGAAGCATCAGCATCCCCCTTTAAAGCCTCCGTTAGTAGTTCAGACACTAGAGAACAATTTAAGCCGTTACAACACCTGGTGTGGAGCGACATTGAAAGGACACACTACTTAAACACGTGCATGTTCCTCGTGACTGGGTTTCTGTGGATGCATCGGCAAAGCAGAAACTGTGTTGTTTGTCACGGCCGCTGGAAACATCCACGCCTCACCCCCACAGCGCTGCGCGCGGGCCAGCCCACTCCACTGAAGCAACCGGCAGCTAAGGCCAACTACCAACAGCTACAGAACTCCCCAGGTCACTAGGTACTGCTCTGGCCTCATGTCTACGTGCTGAAGAAATCTATCCCAGAGCTCATAAATATTAAGCTTGCAACTCTAGAAGATGAGGGAAAAAAGGAGCTTTCAAAATTGTCTGTTACTTTTAGGAAAAGGGCTGCCACATTTAAGAGCAGGGTTTCAGCCTAACCTAGGTACAGGCATCGTCAGGAAGGGCATTTCAGCCCGCTCGGACGTTGCTGCCCAACACTCACCGGTTCCGCCACGGGGCTGGATGCTGCGAGCAGTGCCCACAAGCCAGTCCTTAACCGAGCAGGGCATGCAGTGAGCAAGCACTCTAGCTCTTCCAGCAGGTGCCAAGGGCCAGGTGCTCAGACAGCATAAAGCAGCACCGCTCCATAGGAGCTACAACTATTTACATCAGCTGAGGAATTAGCCCTTGGCTCTGCCCTCCTTCCCCTAAGAACCTGGCGCCAGGGCAGCAGTCAATGATGAGCATCGATCCAGCAGTACAAACCGGGGATGTGCAGCAAGCATTAGAGTAGCATCCCCATATATAAAAATATACCAGTATCTATGCAGAATGGTGGAGCCTCCGAGGCTTACGCTGGAGGCAGCTCAGACCTGGCCCAAGCTCCTGGGTTAGCAGGAGACAGAGGTGGCTAGGCCACATCTCTGCGAGCATTTTGGTTCTTTTGACAGCCATGGCTTAGTGTTAACTATGAAGGGTACTTTGCCCGAGTTGACTATGCTCTGTTTCACTATCTGCCAATAAAAAAAGTGTGGAACTACTGTTTGTGTGTGTGGATTAAAAAAGAAAAAAAGAAAAAAGGCAATGTTTTCCAGTGAGCCATGACTGTATCACTCTCTTTGGAGCCTTCCTGATTGCAGTTATAGATTGGCACTGTTACCACAGATGACCCAGAAAGGACTTGCAAGACCAGCCCTCACTGACTGCAGACAACGTGGACGGGAATTAGGGTGGGAGGCCTCAGCACAGCCTGGGCTGCAGGCCCTGCCTCGCTGCGCTCTATGCACAAGCCACGCACAGGCTGCCCAAGGGGGGGGGGTCACACTAACGAGGACTCGCAGGGAGCTTTAGGGCAAGGTTTGCAACAGTGCTCGCCCGGGACTTCACTCCGTGCCCAAATCAAGGGCAACGATCCTCCTGTTTGGGGGCAGCAGAGCGAGTGCAGAACAAGCACAGCTGCGAGCACCACTGCTAATGCTGACCACAGGACAGCTTCTGCACATAGATACACCTCATTTCTATCGAGAGTGCTGGATCTCAAGGAGTATTGGAGGGCACAGTATTACACTCCTAGTGTACAAATATAGAATAGTAAAAAATAATGCCATTATGTTTACTAAAAGGTATGGATTTCTTAGCTTATTATGTCATCTTGATAAAAACACAAATGCCATTTACTTGTAATTATGGTACCATAGTTTTTGTTGCCTTTAAAAGAAAAAAAGAAAGCTTTTATCTTTAAAGCAAGCTTCCAAGTATTGACTTTTGGCACTAGCATTCCCCATGTAAAAATAACATGGTGCTTTTGGTTTCTCATCTACTTCTACTTATAACCATAACCTTATGGAACAGAAACTGGGGGCTACCTTTGGGTATACGGAAGGATGAGTAGAGATCCCTTTTTACTTTGGGCTCAGGCAGATAAATCTGAGTCCAGAACTTGCCAGGAGCTGCTGGACACAACAGATGTCAAACCTCTACCACCATCTGGATTGCTCTCCCATACCAGTTAGATTTTGACATAGAAGGTGTTCTTCTAAAGACAAATTAACATCTTGTCCCTGGCCCACCCTTTAGAAAAAAATATTTTATTTCATCAGGCTGGTAAAAGCCTGGTTTCCAGTCTGGTAATGGGGAAAAGCAAATACAGACATGCAGCAAGATAGAGGGAAAAACTGTAATAGATCCTAAAAAGGATGCAGGTGACAGACGCTTACTTTTTCTTGTCCTTGTCTTTCTTGGTTTGTTGAGAACCTGCCTGCTGAGCCTGTGACTGTAATAGCTGAGCTGCTGCCTTCTTCTTTTGGAAGTTGCTCAGCTCTTCGTCAAGCTCTTTCTTTTTGTCTTCTACCTTTTTCTTCTCTTCTTGGTGAGTTCTCTTTAGATGGTCAAACTTTTCATGGAGCTGTCCGGACAAAAACAAGAATTGGAGGGGAAGAGAAGTACTTTTTATCCCAATTACTGGCAACCATGCCTGGAGAAATCCCAGTGGTCCTGAGGCCTTGCTGCACTAACAATATGCCAGTTGGGCTGTCACAAGCATGACCGGTCTTGTGAGAGCAGCCCTGCAGCAGTGCATACAGAGCAGAGTTAAGCTGTTGGGGTATCAAGAGTCTCTGGGCACTTCCACATGCCCTGCCCCACTCCGCACTGCTTTGTTCCTAGTGTACCCAGCGAGCAAAGCAAGGCACCATGGTTACATGAAGTAAATGACCTGTGGACAGTACTCATGAACAGCTCCGTTACACCCTTCTACGTCTGTTCCCTCCAGGATAACCAAGGAAATCTCATCTACTTACTGGAAGTCTCTAGAAAGGAGAGACCGAGAAGGGCAGCTCTGGCATTTGCCCAGCTAGAGAGCCACTGCAGCTCCACATTACTCAGGGCAGCAGCCATCCTGATTTCCGTAGCAGGGAAGGAAAAGATGAGGAAGCAGACAGGACGCCAGCAGAAAGGCTGGTGCTTCCATGGGGTGACACCGCTGCAGCCGCTGCTGTCACGCTGCAGCACCTCCCCGCTCCAAGGTCTTGATCTCCCTCTGCCTGCCCAAGGCCACGGATACTCCTGCCCCGTTTTGGAGGCAGCGAACTAGGGCAGAGGACTTGCACAATACAGTCAGGCCACAGGTTTGTGGCAGAGCCAGAAAAATTATCTGCATCTTCTGCCTGGAACTGTTCGTGTCAGGCAAGCCCCTTTTCAGGCTCAGCATGGGAATGCAGGCATCACCTTTGCAGGACTCTCCTGGAAAACCCCCAGCTCACACCCTCATACCCACTCTTCTGTTACAATATACTCACATCTTTCTCTGCTTCTTTCAACTCTGCTTCCTTTTCCTTGACTCTCATGACAAACATCTGCCTCATTTCATCTTCCTTCTTCTGGAGTTCACCCAGGAATTCATTCCTCTTTGCTTCGTAAGTCTCTTGGAGACTGTTCAAAACATATAAAGAAAACAATCAAAGCTGTTTCGTGCATGCTAATGAGTTTCCAGCCCTGGCAGATTTTAGTGCATTCTCCTGTCACACAGTGTCACCAGAGGTCCTCAGTTGCAGCAGAGATATGAGCACCTCCACCAAAACAAGTCTTAGCTTGCTAGATGACAACAATGTGGAAACAAACTGGGGAGTCAGAAGGAGCACACAGTTAAGAATCCTGGCAATCACTTAGCAGACACAATGACAGGCCACCCAAACCAACAGCTGCTGCTCAAGTGCCCACGGCAACGGGCGATGCCAACCCAGCCTGCTCATCTGTTCGGCTCCCACCTTCTTCCCTCACCCACCGCTTGTCCTCAATCTCTTCACCTGAAATAAAGGGTGCGTGGAGCAGAGATTAGCACATCAGAGTGAGAAATTTGGCTTGAGGAAGGTTCATTAGGCACAACCCTGTCACAGAGCAAAATTCATGTTCAAAAGTCACAGCTAATGAATTCAGAGCAGGAGCTTTCTTTAGATAAAGGCTCCTTTGGAGATGCCTTTCTTCTTTAGCTGTCAGGGGATGCCAAGCCTCCTCTGAATAACCACATCACCGAATTCTTTCATTTCCTTATTCCCCCTTCTACTTCTTCGCGTTGCATTATATCCACAGCATCAAGATACTGCAACAAAAATTTGAGACACAAAACACATTGTCCATACACTTCAGATTCAGAGTCTCTTAGGAAGCCTGGATGCCAAATTGCCCTTCATTTTATTCCTTAAATGGTTTTAGATGTTTCAGACATAATGATAGTGTGGGAATGATAACTATTTCCCCATCATGCTTTTCTGGAAGTGCATTTTTTAAAGAAAACTTCACCGAAACGCACCAAATGTGCTGCTTCACCCACTGTCATGGACACACATCTAAGGGACTCATTAAAAAACAGGGTAGTGAACATCATAAACCCATTCAAGTCAAAGCATTGCCTTGCCTTGCATAGGCATATTCTTTTGAGCTGGGAATAGAACCTGACAGATGGGTTCCAGTCTTGGAGTTAGCATCCCAAACTGATGCGTGCTCCAAATCCCTCCTGAAATACTCCCAGGCAGGCTGCCCCAGAGCTGCCCTGCGCAGCGCTGGCCAACCTTGAGAAACCACACGATTCCAGCTGACCAGACACTGAACCAAGGAAACACCCATGAGATTTGAACACAAAGATCTTTTCACCTGGGAATAGGGCACAAGGCTTCTTTAGATACAGAACCACATCAAGAACCAGACTTGTTACAGCGTATACAACCCTACAACAGAATTGCCTGAAAATTCAGTCTTCAATTTCATGCTCTGACTTTGAGCAAATTTATAAATCCTCCCAAAATGCCTGTCTAAGGCTTGGGAAAAGCCCAAGTGCAGATTAAGCTGCACTGCTCAATGAGTAAAAAAATTGAAACTTGTGATTAGTCACATCTTGTAGTAAGGAGCAGCAGAGCCTTGCAGACCAAGACACACACTGCTAATCATATCCTATATGGCAAAGAGCTTCTTTTGCAAAGAGCTCTTTTCCAAATAAATATGTTCTAAGTGACAGGCAAGCAAGGATCTAACCCAGGCTCAATGCACATCTCAGCTTCAAGCTTAAAATCTACTGCTAAACGGAGGTCAGAAACCCAAATCTCCACTGAGAACCCCAACCTCCAGAAAAGCCAAGTTTGCAAAGGAACATGCTCTGTAACTCCAACCTGCATATGAAAAAAACACTCATAGCCCACAGAAGAAATAGTCCAGATTGACTTGGACACTTCACAGCTTGCTAAAAAAATTCAAAATAAAAAAAGGAATTGGCTTTGCTAGTAAACTAACATATGAATATGAACCTGGATTAGCTGAGCAACCTATTCTCCAACACACAATGCATAAGGATGCACTGTCAAAAAATTCCCAGTTTAAAAAAATTTTTAACAAAGAAATGCCTATAGGCTGCAGAGTGGCCTTCCCTAAAGCCCAGGTCCGGAGGAGGCTCGTTTTTGACGACTGGAGGAAGAATGGAAGGAACCAAACCTAATGCTCCCCTCATTTCAGATACACCTTGGCCTCTGCAATACAGCTTGGTCTTGGGGGTTTATCCTGCTTACGGGAAGGAGGCCCCCAGTGAACCACTCTGTGCTAGCATGTACCAGATGGAGAAGTTCTGTACATTTTCATTTCCTTTCTACTTATAACTTGGTCAGAAGAGGCCTCGTGTACAGGAAGTAATGGAAATTCCTCAGATTCCTGGAAGGGAAGGGCTGAGTCCATCTTAAGCCACTGCTCTCTAGAAAGGAAATCCAATAAAGCCTCACACTTGGGCTTGGTAACAGAGCTGGGCCCGGCTGATTTCATTGCAAAGCAGTGCAGCTGCATATTCTGAGCAAGTCAGAAACCAAGCCCTCACTTGAAAAAAGGCCCATGTCATGGCACAAACCCAGCTCTGCTCTCCGTGGAATGCTGTTTTCCAGAGACAAGGGATCCGGCAGCAGGTGTGAAAGGGGCCCGCTCTGCCTCGGGTTCTGGAGCCCACCTGGGATTCAGTGCTGAGGGCCAGACATGAGTTGTGTTCGTGGCCATCTGTGCTGGCCTCTGTGATCTGCACGCCAGCTCCTGACACATACATGCATTATAGGCTAAGTCCAGTGACACAGGGACGTGCACGTAATTCTGACTCTCCCTTGGGGCAGCAAGGGCCGTGGGATGCTGCTAGGAGGCATCGTTACTGGGGAAAAGGTAGGGAGGAACGGGAAACAGGAAACCAAGGGAGAAGACAACCCCCCTTCCGCATCTCCCACACAGCTGTTGTCCCTGGCTGGAGACTCGGGCTTTGGACCAAGCTGTCCAAGCCAGCACAAACTGTATTTAGCAATAAATCCACCTCCCACAGGAGAGCAGCTCTAAGAGCCAACCAGGCAACTTCTCCAGAATCACCCTTCTGCTCAGCACCGGCCCTGCAACACCCGAGTCACCTTGACCCCAGCAGAGCTGCAGTGGTGCTAGCAGCACGACTAACACCCAGCTACCCGAGCTGGCCTCAGCAGTCGGCAGAGCCAGCTGCCTGCAAGATGCCATCGAGCCACCAGTGGACATGAGGCAGCACAAACATCTCCTGAGCACCTCAGAGTCAGCTCTTGAGCTTCCCGACTGAACAGTGACTAGCGACCCACTAGTGTCAACTGGTGCCCATCAGACATGCTCACATGCATTGACTGCAGGCCACAATCAAGCCACCGTTGTACCTAGCAAAAGTGCCAGCCACACTGATGCAGAAAGGAACTAGGAGCATTGTCTCATGTAAAGCAGCGGACAACTTCGAACGTGGAGAGGAAAATCAGTCTGCTCAGACCCCCAAGGTACTGCTTGACCTAAGGAGTGTGTTCAAGAATCCTGGTGACATTTTACAGGCCCTAGAAGGAATGTATGCCCCTCCGCAGGACTGCTCATGTTTTCAGAATATTAAGGTAAAAATAAGCTTTTCTCAACCACTCAGCCCTTTCCTGCCCACAAATAGGAGGCCCTGAGGACAGATTTGCATGGCACAAGTTCTTTTTTTCAGTTTCAAGTTTTTCAGATTACCAGTTTATCACATCCCTGCCACTGTAACAGGATTATCTCCCACGTTCTCCCCAATCCCAACAACCCCTAAACCTCACAGCTCTCTGGCTGCCCGTGGCCCGAGTTAAACTCTCCTACCTGAAAGGTTTGCTGTCTGGATCTGTGTCCTTGAACCCCATCTCTTCCAGTTTGCAGCGCCTGTACAGCTCATAGTGTCGGGTGTGTGTCTGCTCTCTCAAGTCCTCCATGTTCACACGGATCAGCATCTCCCGCAGCTTCACAAAGTCACAGTGATTTTCATTTTCAACTGCAAAAGAAGCAGACCACTCATGGAGACAATGCTTAACACAGGAGCAAGTGTCTTGAATTTCCTGGAAATACCAAGAAACTAGCAAGATCTGTGTCAAATATTAGACTTGTCTAACCAACTCCTCCAAGTTATGCCCAGTATTGCCCTCCAGTTTAGGCAGCTAAGGGCAATAAATATCAAGTGTCTTTGGGATCAGACCTGGTTACGGAGTAAAACTGGGTAAGTTGTGCAGAACCGTCCTGTGGATACTCCCCTGCAGCTTCTCCAGACAGATAAAGAGCTTAAGCCACCTTCCTTCACAAAGCAAACACTGAATTGCAAAAGCTCCTTTCATGCAAAGGTCTTTTGGAGGAGGGACTTAGAGCAGAGATCTTGCTACTCGAGACAGATTTTGATACGACGCATCCAAACATCAGCATGTCTTTCAAGAGAGCAAGACTACTGGAACTACTAGGACTGACCCGTGCCTTTGGTAACCTACCCTGCACAACACCCCATGGGTATTGCCTGGCTTTTGCCATCTTGTTGCCAATCTTCACTTCTTCGGTGCTGCCAACGACGGCAAACGGAAGGTGGACCTGCCAGAGGAAAAGGAAAAGCGGGTTAGGGATTTGCTTTGTTGCTTTGCCAGCAATTGTTTCTGAATAAAGCTGTTTACGGTGGCAGCTGCGCTACATCTAAGTTGCTTAAGGTCCCTTTGCAACTCAACTGGTGTTTTACTAAAAGCAGTTGTGCAGCTTGAATTAGAAGCCTGCTTGGCCTTCAAGTCCAAAATTCTGAAGTCCTAAAAATACAGCAGCAAGATGGACATATTTTACATGTTCTACACCCCGGATTGTCATATGTTGTAATTACAAGTGTCTTACAAATGGGAAACCAATTTGAGCATTGAGGAAAAAAGTCTGTTAAGAAGAAAAAATAAATGACACCCTCTCAAGCAAGAAATGCTAAAAAATACGAGTACTTCTGCTGCTAGAAATAACAGCTAATATTTCCTCCTAAAAAAGACAAAACTCTGGGCAAGAGGAAGAGCAGAGCTGACCCAGCCCAGAGCTGACAGATCTGAGTCACCAAGCCCTGCTGTGTCCAGGCACTCTGGGTGTGGTGGGGATAGCTTGGCAACCCAGAACCCAGTCCCAGAAGCAGAGTCCCTGCCAAGATGGAGCTTGCCATGCCACAGCGCTCTGTCTGGCTTCCTGGCACCTGCGAGGGTTACGTCCTTGGTAGCCATGCTGTGGGCAGAGGCAATACGCCGGCCAGAGGTTTGGGGAGGGTCTCATAGCCAGCTTGCTCCAGAACGAGTACCCTCCTCCTCCGACACTACCATTCTGCCTTGGCTTGTACAACGGGCCACCTGGAAGCACTGTGCATGGATTTGCCCATGATATCTACTGCTGCTCGTCCTGGACAAGGGGATGGAGGCGAGAGGCAGAGTTCCCACCACAGACAGTCCCCGGCTCTGTCAAGAGGTCCAATGCTGTCGAAGGCGCCCTGCTCTCACTGGAAACCCAAACCAAGGCAGGTGGGAATCACCCTCCGCTGACCAACCTGTGGTCGGTTGGGACAGGAAACCCAAACCCCAGCCCTCTGCCCTGGCAGTTCTGGAGCCCTGCCTCCCATGCTCTTCCTTTCCTGAAAGGAGAATACCGCGACAGGGGGAGGATATGAACAAATGCTCAGACAAGAATCCTTTTTCAGACAAAGAAGTAAAAGCAGCCAGACAGCCCACGTGCTTTGTGCTCCAAAAGCCTTCTAGTCACCATGATTTCCGTGCTTAAACCTGAGTTTCAAAGCCAAAAGCAACACAGCACTCTGGCTTGTCTTTGGAGGAGGCCTGAAAGCACCAAGGAAAACAAACCCCCAGAAGCAAACGTACACTCATCGTCGCGTTGATCTCCGCCACCGTCTCTTCGTCTGTTGGGAACTGGTAGATCTGGACGCCGTTGCTGACCAGCTCGCTCATGATTTTACTCTTGAACTTGTGCAACTCATTTTTTGCTATGGTGTCAGCCTTGGCAATGATGGGGATGATGTTCACCTGCAAGACAAGGACATCCGCATGTGGAGAACTGTACAGACTGCATGACCAGGAAGGTCCCACAGTGGTGGCCCCAGAAGCACGTCGCAAGCCAGAGTCCCACCCAGTGAAAGGCCTTCTTGGGGCAGGGGGAGCTGCTGCTGTCAGCACCACTGCCTGAGACAGGATATACATGCAGCAGAGATGATGGCCTTAAAAAGAAGTCAAATGCAATTTGGCAACATACTATTTCCTGTGTGTCCTACTTAACTCCCACTCTGAATTGGCTGGACAGGAAATGCTGTCACGGATTGTTATGAGCTGGTCCAGAAGAAGGAAGTTGCCATGTAGGTACTTGTCCCGCTGAGCAGCAACAGACCGGGCAATGGCAAGTGACAGGCCTGGACAACAGCCTCCCGCAGGGCTCTGCCCAGGTGTTGTTCCCGACAACAGCCAGGCAGGCAGCAGAGTTGCTGGAGTGGGAAGCAGATGGTCCAGGCCCTACCAAGTGACACAGGCGGCAGGGCTGGAAATAACAGTGACCTGCTTCCCTCCTCACCCTGCCCTCACAGGCTCGGCTGTGCTGCAAGACTAGGCTCCGTGCATCCTGCACAGCTCTAACACTATCAGCAGGGGAAGAAGCATGACAGGGTTAGCATAGATACAAAGACTAAAAGCACACCCTCTCTTCCCTAGACAGGCTGTTTGCTACACCCAAGGACAGTATCCAAGAGCCAAGGGGAGACTTTTCCCTCTGTCCTTTATAACAAGAGACAACAGTGCTAGTGAGGAAGATGTTAACATTAATGTGAAGAGGATTCAACTACATTACTAGAAAAGCCTGTCATATTACATAACTTAATTCTCTTCGGAGGATGCCCCCAAGTTATTAATTCACCTTTGCCGAAAGAACAAAGATGAATGTCAATTAGCTCATTTGGGAGAGATCTTATGAATCCTACTGCAACTCAGGGGCTAAGGATGGCTCCCCCGTACTGCGGAACACCCAATCGATAGGCCCTTCCAGGAAGCAGAACCATTGTCATCAACCATCTCCTGCAGCAGCTGGGTCCAAGGAGCCAAAAGCACAAGATGGACAAATATCAACTGTCTTATGATGTAAAGCAGGAGAGAAACCTTGGGCTCAACTAGCTAGACTTTACATTTGTGTTTCAGTTGCTTTCCCTAAAAGAACAAAGAACAAATTTTCTGCAGGTATCTAATAAGAAACTATATAACATATGGGGTTTCATTCCTCTTCTTGCTCATCAAGAGAGTAACTAAGAAACTGCACAGAGTAGCATACAAGCTCAGATACTTTAGCTTTCTGCTTAAGTGGGTGGGCATGGTCTGAATAACATGCCAATTGCCACAGGAGCTCAGATCACTGTGTCTAGCCAGCTGCAGCAGAGTGCGCACACAGACAGAGCGTTTTGATTTTTTTCATTGATTAGGAACATCACCTCAAGTGTTCTGGATGTGCTTCTCTCCATCACACACACTCATCAAACCAGCTTTTGCACTGAAGCCTAATTAATTGATCGAACAAAGTGAAATGAAGGAAGGAATCATGCTCTTTCCAGTGCTGGAACCAACAGAGTTCAGCTTTACTCCCTCATTCTTATTTATATATGAATATAGGGAAACACACGTCTGTTTTCTCAGTAGTCAACTGATCTCTAAATGAATGTGTCACTGAATTTGGCAGAGTTAGCCCTCAACAAAGCAGCAGAAAACAGGACCTGCTATGGCATCCTCATGAGGAGGGAGTTTTCCCACTCTTGGATTGTCATCTTGACAGGGTGGCTGCAGAGCCAAGCTTTTAAGCCACAGGAGAGTCAGCTGGAAAACAATGAAAACCCAAACTCTTATCAGCTCTCTCTGCAGAATCCAAATCAGACTGACCCATCCTAGCAGCTTGCCTGAAGCGCTAAGGTTTTCACACCACACATCTGCAATCACTGCCTGCTTAAAACAGATGGCTTCAGTGCAAGTCTGGCCAAGCCTGTGAAAAACTAATAAAAGCACCAGCTCAGTTATAACACAGGCAGCAAGTACCTTACTGTCGAGTTTCTTCATGGTGACCAAGTCTAGGGACTTCAGCGAGTGCCCAGTTGGTGCAATGAAGTAGAGGCAGGCATGAATCCTAGTGTCGTGGTAGTTGAACAGGGAGCGTTTGATCTTCAGCTCTTCTTGCAAGTAGGCTTCAAACTGTGCATCAATATATTCCACTATGGGCTTGTAGCTGAGGAGAGAGAAAACAGAGTTGAGCAAGCCAGGGCATTTGTTGTTTGGACAACACTCAGAGAGCCTCAGAGCTGCTCTCTACGTTAGGGGGACAACGACGGCCTTGGGACCTTCCGTCCACAACCAGCAGTCCCTTCTTATCAAGTGTGTTTCCAATGCGCACACAGGAAAAATTTCAAGACAAGGTTAGTCAAAGGAAAAAAGGAAATGGTAGAGACCTGGGGGCGGGGGGGCAGGGCTAGGTACATGCCAGACCACATGTTCTGGAAAATGTATTTTGCTGTTGTCCATCAACTCATGAACTTCTCTGTGACTTTAAGAGACAGAAGGATGGAAGGAAAAAAAAATCACATGAGAATATAAAGAGCTTGTCAGGAAGTAAGCCAATGAACAAAGCTCAACAAACACTGCACTATTTGAAGGTGTACACTGGGGGAACAGTTTCAGTGGGGACAAAAAGATGCCATGGTCTGACTTCTGTACTTCTCAAAGGAAAACTTGGGTACCTCATAAACCCCTGCCATCCATGGCAAGCTCCTTATAGACGGCCCTAAGCTCTCTAGCCCTAGGAAGCCCTTGAGGGAGGACATTGAGCTCAAGGCACCCAAATAGTATTGCCACTGCCTTAAGTGCAGTATTCATAGCTGCATCTACATCCTCCTTAAAAAAGCAGCTGTGAGAAGGAAGTAAAAGGTCAGGAGTTTCCATGTCCTCCTGAAACAGCTTTCTACCAGGCAGCCACCAATGCTTTGGAGTGGCCTCTCTGCTCCAGCTGCCAGGGAAGCTTTAGGAGGAATTGCCGAAAACTCTAGGCAAGTACATCAGACTACATCATGATTTACTGCGTGAGAGGCACAGGCCAAGGCAGCTGGAGCTGCAGGAGAGCCACCTGCATGAGGCAGAATGCCAGGGACTCACAAAAGACCATGGAGCACTAGTCATTAGCTCACAGGCACAGAGGGTATCAGGAAGTCTCACTCAGAGCCTGCAACACTGCCAGTTCCTCTGCTTCTGGACATGTGGTTTCTGGTGAGGAGACCTCCAAAAGCTCAGGTAACAGATGTGCTGCAAGAAAAGGAGTCAAAAACACTATTCAAGGCAGGTCATGCTGATGAAAGCCTTGTAAAACATGGACAGGAAAAGGACTGGCAAGGAAAGCTTGGTGCACAAAAACACCCCCAAGGCAGTAACAGTTAACAAACTCCCAGCCGTGCTGGGTCTCAGCAGGACAAAAGCCATAGCTGAGTCCTGACCACCCTTCTCTAAGTGCAGGCGAGGAAACTTGGAGGGTTTTAGCTGCCACCACTGCCAGTTCTACTGCTTACAGACTGAAGCGAATGCCAAGTGAGCCAGTAGCAAGGAGCCCCAGGGCATCCCTGCTCCGAGCACCTGCTCCTCTTCCAAGTGGCCTTCACTCCGGCCCAGAAGCATATGGCAGGATGCAACACCCTGAGCAGCCTTCAACCGCTGCGTGTGCCTCTCCACGTCCGCTCGGGAGCGAATAACAGGGCAGCAGTCAGGAGCAGGAGGAGCAGAGCAAGGGCAACAGGCACATTGTTTTGGTGTCAGCACACGAAGTGTAAGCATTCCCAAATAAAGTAATTTTAAATACGAGTAACTTAAAAATAATTACGTTGCAGAGCAGGTAGTTGAGCCTGTTAAACTGCCATTTAACAGAGATTGAGGCAAAGCTTGCTTTTAAGCTTGCCTTATCCAAGAGCTCAGGTGAGCATCTGTGCCAGTCCTCACGTCTAGTAGGTTTTGCTCAGTGCACATCGTGCTGGCCAGAGTGCCCTCTCTTGGCTGAGTGCAGGCAAGAAGGTTGTTTGCAACCCCACAAGGGAAGGCGAGTTGACTGCAACAAGGGAAGGTATCACTCAACGGGAAGAATAGTGCTAATTAGTTTATTAAAAATTGTAATCATAGAATCACTCATTTTATCACAAGAACAAAAGCCCATATGGACAGACAGAAGGGGCTGCGTAGGCTGCTGCGAATATTTACTTTATGCACCAGAATAATTAGTACCTTGCCTAAAGTGAAGCCCACCTGGACTTGGGCAAACAGTATGAGCATAATCTATAATTTAAGTTCGAGCTCTCCAATAGATAGAAATACAGCTGCAGTTTGAAGACAGGCTTCCAAATATTTACATGTTCAATTTCAGCAAAGATTTCAACCCAGCCAGCCAGAGGCAGAGGGCAGAAATGCAGTTCCAGTTTTGTCATCTTCTAACTCATCTGTTTATTCTTTGCCTTTTTTTTTTTTAAACTTTTACCCGTCTCACAGGGCTAGCAATATTAGCTGCTATCCCCAGCAGCTCCAAGGAACATCAGTGATCTACCCTGCTCCCACCAAGAGATCAAGCCCTTCTGACCTCAGAGCACGTTAGTGTGAGGACGACTTGGTTGCGCAGAAGTCACTCTACCTGTCATCCTTGTTAATCTGGTCGCCAAATCCAACTGTGTCTACGATTGTCAGCTTCAGACGGACGTTGCTCTCCTGCAGCTCGTAACTCCTGGCTTTCAACCTCACGCCAGGCTCATTGTGCGTAGCAGGTTCGCTCTCAAACTTGGTGTTGAACAGCGTGTCCATCAACGTCGACTTGCCGATGCCAGTCTCCCCTGGGCAAATAAAGGCTCCATTAGGCACCTTCCCTTTTGCCCATCTCCTTCTCTACTGCATTCATTAGGGTAAGGAATGATATCACTCTGGAAGCAATGGAACTGGGATACACGCCTATGGTTCAACAAAATAACCTCCGCAGGAACAGATGCCTGCTGAAACAGCCCTCATCTTTACCAACCTCCCAGGACCAAGCAGGGGACTTGGTGGATATTGGGACCCCTCAAGGGTCTCTAGACTGCAAGCAGCAATCCAGGAATGAAAACATGTTTCTCAAAATAAACAAACCCCCTACTTAAAAATGTGCAGTAGCTGTGTCCACATAAGCTAATGCCACTGCTCAGCAGCTGCCTGTGGCTCTATGTTACTCGACAGCTCATTTAGCTGACGGCCACTGAAAAGCTGACTGCTTTGGCGCTTGCCTCGGGATGGTAAGTGAACATCACAGTCCAGAAAAATGATCAACAGGAGATATACTTGGCACAGCATTCCTGGCCTGGGAAGTTGTAGGATATCAAGAACTATTATTTTTTAAAAAGTGCATGAGGCCAAGATAGCAAACAGGCTTAAGATGATAGCTTATAATGTAGGCCACATAGAGCTCAACTCACATGAAAAGATGAGTCCTCAACTGACACGCTGGGCTCATCTCTGCAGCAACATTTCTCCATGAGCTGCTAACATGCACGCAGCCCTGCTGCACCCTAAGGGCTTTGCAGCACTTCAGCCACATGCACTACAATTAAAAACCTCACATTGCCATGCCTAACAATTGCAGAACCAAGTTTGGGAAGTTTGTTTTTAAGGGAGAGATTCCTATTATTTGCACACTTGCAGCAATCTGTGTGAAATTTCCATTTGGGGCTCAACAAAAACAAGATGACCAGCACATTTTACAAGAGAAAAGAAAACAAATTGCTACCTTAATGGAGGCAAATCAAGTCATCTTAGCAGAGCAGTATTTACTCCAAGAGAAAAGGGCAATTAATTTATGCCATTTTGATCAGAGTACTTGTGAATAGAGATGCTCCCTGCTGAATTTTAAAAAGGTTTCATACTGTTAGGAGAGTCACATGGCAGTTGGTAGCATGAACGTGCAGAAATACGAGCTCTTATCTCCCTTTTCTCATCCTTAGACACACACAGTTAGAGAGGAGTCTAGTTGGGTCACCAGCCTTTCCTTTCAGCTGGCTGTGCTTGCTCTGTGGACAGAAATTCTACACATCACAGAAAACCACAGGCTCAAGGCAGCATTTATTTCCAGCTGCTTAAGGTAGCTGTTTAGAAGGGGTGCTATATTCTGCTTAAGTGACCCAGAGAGAAGCTTTGGGGATTGCTATTCCAAAATAGGAACAGAACCCACCTATTCCACCAGGAGAGCAGTTCTAGGGGACATCTTTTGGAGGGTCATTAATGGGTCAGGCAGCTCTGGCACATGGTTCCCTGGGATCTAACATTAGATTTCTAACTGTCCAGCAGCTACAGAGAGTGCAAGGGTGACAAGCAACTCCCCGTCCTTTGCAGAGATCAGTTATGACCCCTTATTTCAGCTGAGTAATTCAGGAAAAGAAACACAGGAACCCAGGCTAGAAAAACAAGGAGCAGCACCAAGATTAAGAACAGCAGAGAGTAGGTGACAGGCTGTGTTCTCAAGCGCTTCGTTGAGAGACTAAAAATGGCATTGCTTCCAAATGGAGAAGCTCTGAATCCAGAGAGACAGGCAGGCAGAGCCTGGAAGGGATGAAGTGCGGTTTATTGAGAAACAGCCTCGGTGCTCAAACCAGAGACAAGCAGATTCAAGTTAAAGTTCTTCTAAAAATTGATTTAGTTCTCAAGTCAGCTGAGCTTACTTATGGGAAGACCTAGGGGAGAGATGGGCTTCGGCAATACCATAAAGGTAGATTTTCATCATCTAGACATTGCAACATTTTGAATGAAGAGGCAAGGGAAGAATACTAGGTTTAACTACGGAGCAGCTCCAGAAGGGAAAACAAAAATAGACCTTAGCTCTCTTGCCCTGCAGACAACCAGCTCTTACCCTCTAGTGCAGCGAAAGAGGTTTTTAAGCTTGTGAAGAGGCATGCAAAGCTTTGGCACGGGGACGCCTGCTCAGCCATGTGGGATAACTTACCCACACAGAGGATGTTGAAGCAGAAGCCCTGCGATGTTGACTTGTTGACCAGCTGGTCAGGAAGGCTGTCAAAGCCTACATGGCCCGAGAGGGACAGGTTCCTGAGGTCATCGCTCTACCAAGGCAAGCAGAAAGACACGTCACAGGGAAGGCAGATGGCAGCTCACACCCAACACCCCAGCCAGGGAGCAGCACTGGGCCTAGCTCACAGCAAAATACTGCTTACACTGCTTGAGCAACACCTCTCAGGCTGCCTAAACCCTGTCCTGGCCTTCAGGGTCCTTAGTGCAAGGGAAAGAGCATGTGCAGCTCTGCATGTGGCTTGCTTCACATCCAACCTCACATGACACGAGTGGACAAAGCAGAGCACTGTTCCCAGTCTTGTCCCCATAACTTAACAATCCTGCCCTGCTGCCCTTCACCATTGTTAGGAGGATGCAATCAGGCCAGACTCCCTGGGTCCCTTTGCTGAGTCACCTCGGAGCTCCAGGTTGCCCCCATCCCAGACCTGCTCCCCAGCAAGGTGAGCTAATAACACCAAGGACCCGACACCGTCGGGTCAAGGGCATCGTGCTAGCACAGACCTTGGCAGGAGAAAATCTGTACACCTCCAATATGATTCGGACCAGGCAGAGCAAAAGGTAGTCCCTTGTTGTCCAAAGAACACCCAAAGGCAAAGCAGGACCTCCTACTCTCTGCATGAAGACCCACAGCCGCACTGCAAGACCACAGGCTCTTTAACCCTTCAGGAACTGCTAAGCACCTCAAGGAGTCTGCTTGGTGGTTATATAGCAAGGATGGCTCCTGAAAACATGTCTCAGTTATAACAAGTAAAGGAAAAGGGAGAAATACTCTGAAAGACAGTGCACAGAATAAAAACCTTTCAGGTCCAGACACTCACCATACATAAAAACCATGGGCCAGATGCTCTGTGCCATGCTGGCCCATGGAGCTTGGCACTTGTAAGCAACACTCAACTCTTCTCCTTGGCCTCCTAACCAGGCTTATCTGAAGGCTTAAGGTCAGCAGACCAGACTCCTGACCTTTCCTCCTCCATGCACTGGAAAGATATTCAGCATCACAGTGTGTTAGGAGGGCAAGGTGATGAAGGGATACCACCCTCCTGACTCCATTGAGTTAAAAAGTAACCACCAAAGACCAGCACCCTCATTTACAGGACAGAGCTTTTCCTGCAAAAACCACCAACATGAGATCCTTGAACTTGTGCATGATGTGAATGAGTTAAACTCCGTGCTACTAGTATTTGTCAAATATCAGCAGATTTGAGTTTATGATTAAGCCAAAGGAGCTCTGAGTGCATCCCAGAAAGCACAAGGCCCCCCTGACTCAAGCCCTGCAGAAAGGGGTGGGTGTTCAACTTCCCCCAGTGCAGCACCAATAACTCTTTGCCTGAGCTATTTTAGGCAAGCAACTGCAACTATTTGCCTCATCATCAGTTACTCAGCAGGAACAGGAGTTGCAGTCATACCTTGTATCTGTGCCAGTTATTTTTTGCTGCACAGGTTTTTCTTTTTCGTTGTTGTTTGTTTTTGTTTTTCTTTTTTTCCCCCTTTGTTGGTTATTTATTTCTGATATACTTTTTCCTCACTGGAAGGAATAAAACCAGCATCCCTTCATCCCCTCAGTTTTCAACTCCGCACGTTTTGCACAAGCTGTGCCACACAGCAGGAAGCCTGCCTGGACCACCAAAACCTTGGACAGGGCAGGACTAAAAGGGACTAGAGTTCGCAAATACCACATAGGCAGCTCCCGTGCACAGAACCAGGCTCAAGGAGCTGGCAGTTTTGGGGGAGAGACCCAGCCGCAACGCAGGCTGCTCCTCCCCGGGGAGGAGCTGCAAGGGGCAGCTTCCACCCACAGCAATATCCTCGCAGCAGCTGAGGGGACCCCGACCACTGCCCTGAACCCCCAAAGGCCCTTCTTAAGGATACTGCCCTGGCCAAAGGACAGCCCAGCCACAGATCCCACCCTGTCAGACAGGCTACCTGAGAGCACCCACTCCATTTGTTTCTCTCCTCTTTTGCAACTGAGGCTGAGCTCATATATCTGGAAGCAACCACAGCTGTTGCAAGCACCCACAGCAAGGACCCAACAGTTCCCAACTCGGAATAGCTTGTGGGCTCAGGTTTTAGCAGCATTGGAAAGGAAATTGGTGCAGGAGAGCACCAAGTGTAACTGCTTGGTGTATAATTAGCAGAAGGGAGAGTGATTCATGCACTCAGCCTGGCAAGACAGAAATGTTTGGAAAACAACAGGAGGCGAAGTCAGGCTGCCACCCCGTTCTGGCGATCGAGTGCTGCAACAAGCCAAGAGCCCACAGGTTGGTTTTTGGTCTCAGGAGAGCCATCCCCATAGAAAGGGGGTGTTGGTCAAATGCTGACAAAGGGCAACAGCTCCCGCCCTTGGCTGTGCCCAGCAAGGCAGCGAGCCATGCGAGCGTCATGCCAGCAATGCTCCAGCACCGACTCACTCCTCCAGCCCAGGGCTCTGCTCCGGGAGAAGCAGGCTGTGCTGCTTAGGTGCTTCATCTGCTGTGGATCCCTCAACACCTCTGCGGACTGGAACAACTCACCCAGCTGTCACTGCCAGCCTCAGGGAAGCCTTGTTTATGCTCAGATGCCTCACCACATATGGAAGCAGCCACCTCGGGCTCAGAAGTTAGAAGTTTGTTCATTGAGTCTCCAACAATAAGAGTTTAAAGCCATCTCAAGAGCGGACTGTAAGCTTTCTTTGCAGGCTTAGGCAGCATCATTTCTCCCTTAGGGAGCCCCCCTCATTGCAAGACCAACCTTTCCTCCCTCCCCGGGCACCATTTACACGAGCGGGAAGTGACTGCAGGCTGGATGCTAACCCTCCGACAGCTGCAAAGCAACACAGATAAGTACACACGTGTTTATTTGGACAAGATGTTGACCAATGAATTTCTCTGGAAAACAACCAACAGCCCATCTAGGATGGGGGAAGGAAAGGCCAGAGAAGCCTCAAGATCCAGAGGCACAACTAGGAGCAAGCATCTGCCATGGACCATTGCCAGGTACAGAGGGACTGCCAGGACTTCCATTTTCCAAACTCTTAAGAAGAGAGAGAGCCCAGAGTTCGCAAGCCCTTTCAAGCCTGCCTCAGATCGGTCTTGCTTCACATGCAGCCCCACGAGGTAAAGGTTTTACAGGTCAAGCAGTGCTCTAACAGACCCCCAGCTGCCAGCGGCAGGTTTGCCTGGATGCAGGTTAGGGCAGCTTTACAAAACTATTTGGCTGACAGTGCATGTGGAGGGAGAGAATCGCCCCGTTCCCCCTAAGCCACAGCCATCTGGCAGAGCTAGCAGGAAGAGAGGGAAGCGCCAACTTATTTCCCTCATTGGAGTCAGCAACAATGTGGCTGCATGCACATCAGGAGGTACAAATAAAGGTATTCAGGAAAGCACTGTGAAGCAGAGCCTCGTCCTCACAGTTCCCATGGTGGCTGGTAGCTCAACTCCCCGCCCAGCCCCCAGGAAGCCAGAGATGCTCTGTGGAGGCATCTGCATTTAGGGTCCTGCTCTGCCCTGTGCTCTCCTTGCCCGGAGCCACAAAAGCAGCCAGTGCCTCAGCCCAAGCAAGTTCCCACCGAGCCCATTCTGCTTTGGGACCACCAGCCAAGCCATCCCCGCGCGCCGCTCTGTTCCCCTGCTCCCGGCGGCTGGGGGTCAGCTTCGCACGGCCTCACAAGAGTTAAAGAAAACAAAAACGAGACGCAGAGTTAGGAGGGAAAAGAAGCCGGTATGCAAAATATTGAGCTAAACCACAAATATGAAGCAAATGTTTAGTTATTTGAGGCCACACGATTTCGGAGGAACCTTGAAGAAATTCTGAAAGCCCTTATTCTTGTCAGCATTGAGGCCAGCTAAGTCTTTGCTCACTTACTATGCACACATTGCCTTCTTTCTGGGGAAATCTTAGATGCTGGATCCAAAGTAAAGGACCTCAGGGTTACTTTAGTGAGTTTGCAGAGAGCACAACGGTCCAGGGATGGCAATGTGCACGGAGATGAAGAACAGCCAAGCAAGAGCCAGATCTGTCCTACCTTTTCCTTGAATTAACCCTGAAAGCCAGGACCACTGCCAGCGGGGCATGAAAAGCCAAGCCCTAAACCAAAGCGAAGAGCTCCAATTGCTTCAGCTGGTGCCCATAAACCACCTCACTCTGCTCAAAAAGATTTAAATAAACCAAAGTCAAACCCTTAATTCTTGGGTAATGGAATTCAGGTATAATCATGCAGGGCAAAACTTCTGAGAAAGAAGAAATCCTCTCCCTTCAGTAGCTTTCTCAACCCCCGCACAAGACAGCCCGTAGCACTCTATCAGTTAATAAAGGAAGAACTGTTTTTTGTCAGGATAACCATCAGTGACACCGCAGAGGAGGGGGAGTTCCTGTCTCCAGGCTTCAGCTGCAGACTTGGGCAGACGTGTCTGCGAGCTACTTGATGCCTGGGAGGCCTTATCGGCGACAGAGAGAGAGCAGACCCTTTGCAAGAGGCTCATCATCATGCTGCAGATTCCTAAGCCCTGAACACTCACTGCAGTGAGGCAGGCTGGCTGGCTAACGAGCCCACAGAGCAGAGCCATGACTCATCATCTCACTGCCTAGGGCCCATGGGGCCACCTCACTGACCCACCTTGCTCTTTCTGGATGAGAGCTGGCAGCGACTGCAGCTCCTTTGCAGAGCCAGGCTCATTTGGGAAGTCCCCCACCCCAGCCCTCCAGCAACGTCTACAGCAGGAGCAAAGAGCCAAGCCTCCCCAAGCTGAGCGGCAAGCAACACGGGCCAAGTGTTATGCCCGTGCTGGCTCCGCTCTTGGTAACCACAGAGGTCCCAAGGAACTCCAAGAGGCTCCGCACATGCTGGCTAGCCTGTGGGAGGAAGGCAGGAAGCGATTTGGCTGCCAAAATCCCAGCAGCAGCCAGGGGGAAGGCGTGGGGCTCCCGCTGCCCCTGCGCCTACAGGAGCCACTATTTGCGGGGGCACAGGCCCAAGGAGGGTGGGAGGTGCCCTCCAGGCTGAGTAAGCCTGGACACGCTGCGGTTAGCGCAGGCATTAAGCTGCCAATCCAATGGG